TGGGGATATGTGGCCATCTCCATTGATGCCAATTCAAGATTTTAACAACCAAAATTTATTTGAACAGTGAAATGAGCGTAGTGATCGAAGAAGCTCTATTGTATTGGTGAATCGGCAAAATATAGCTTTTTTTACCCACAACCAAAGCAATATAATTGGTATATTTTTTATTTCAAGAATTATATTTTTAAACTTGAAAAACATGAAATTACTATAAAATTTCAAAGTACTTTTTATTTATTTATTGGTCTAGAATAATTAAAATAATATTAAAAAAGAAAACACCTTATTACATTAGACGAATGCTCGTAATGCTTGAGGCTTAACCTCTATGCCTTGCCACACCATACATGTTTCAAAACCTTGATGTTAACACATTGCTAATAGAAAAGTTAAGAAATCATTAGTACATTTATCTTTCTCGTTGATTTGACAACTTTTAAAAAAGTTTCGATGAACATGATTGCTGAAAGGATAGATTCTGTTCACCAGCCATCAACTTTGCCTGGCTGCTTTTGCAGTCATACAGATTTCTTACCTAGGCGATCCTACGGGCTCGTCTTGGTCGGCTTGCACGAGTAAATTACTGCTCAACTCTCATCCACGGCTTGATTCGGACGAGAGCAAGGTGAACTCACCTCGTTAGTGAGGCGAGCCGAGCTCACAAACCAGCGAACTATTCGTCCCACTTAACACTCCAACCTTAAATTGAACACCATTCTATAGAACCTGCCTTTTGGAATACTTAGCTCTTCCGCACATTATTCTCAAAAGGGTAAAGCCCCTTTGATGACTTCATCAGCATTATGATATAACAATAAATTAGTTCCGTCATGTGATTAGCAAGTAATTTAAAAACAATATTATACCTTTTGTCTTCAGTTCATTCCGTTGACAATGCTTATGATTAATATTAGTTAGCTAAGTGAAGCTTGTTCAAGTACCAACACAAATTCGGAAACATTACTTCGACAGTTCCAAGGGAGTAGGGATCGCAACAGGATGGGCATGGAACGAGTCAGTCATTCCTACCCCCGTCTCGTCGGGTATTTGAAAATGTTGGCTTCTCAAAACACTATTAAATTGGTGTTATTTCTGAAATTTGCCTCAACTGATTATTTGGATTATGGACGGCCTACGTGACAACCTCCAAATGGCCACGGATTGTGCTTGTTGAGGAATGGTATTAACCGTCTGATCAAATGGATGGCCTATATCTATTCTTGATAAAACCATTTCAGTTAACTTGGTTTTGAAGGGCAGGGGTGAGGGGGGGGGGGGGGCCGGGGG